AAAAAAAAAAAAAAAAAAAAAAAAAAAAAAAAAAACCTCTTAGAACATTTGGTTAGCCTTTTCTTAAAACAATGTCATTAACTTAAATTTTCCATGAATAACGCAAGCATCCTGAAAATGCTAATAAATTATTGAAGTTGGACAAGGGGTAGCTCAAATGGTGAGGGCAGTTGAGGGGTTGGTTTCGGTTTCAGAAAATGTAGAAAACATTCTAGGCAAAGACAAAAAATAATTAATAACAGTTGACATTAATTGGTGCAGCAACTTATGAGCGATGTATGCAACGTTGATGGCACGAAGAAAGTGCTGCTATATCATGAAATGATACCTAGAGTAAAAGACACCATCGAGAATGTTTCCACAGTATGGCGTGAATTATTCATGTGTGGGTTGATTTTCTACTACTGCCATTACACAGCCCAAGCCCCAAGGAAAGGATCCAAATCTCATGATGGTTTGAAAAACAAAATGGGCCTGTACAATCGATACAATATATTAGGCAGAGAGAATGTGAATGGTAATTAAGATTCACGTTTATACGTGGTTACTATAAAGATATTTAAACGAACAATTAATTAAAATTTACATTATGCATGATTTTTTTAAGTTATTATTATGAAATTTAATAATTTCTAATTATATAACAAGTATTGAAATAATCTAAGATTCTAATTAGTTATTTAAAACGTGTGCACAAAAATTGTCTTCTTGAATGTGTGAACTAATCTATGATTCTAAGGCTTAGCCATAAGCTCTGATAGTCTGGAAGCTGGATGATAGAAAAAAACCTATGAAACCGTACCGTTGGTAGCTATACCAAGTCCAAAATGAGAGTGGAATCTGATACATAAATAAAATAATGGAATAGCATCTTCAATGCTATGCGCAAGCCCGCAATAACTCCAATAATTCTGCGTTGGTATTGTCAGCTTGGCCAATACCCATGAAGAAACCTTTGATCCATTTACCATCAGAGTCTAATATTATACGGTACTAAGGAATAGGCACTCCGTATGTTTGTGTATTTTAAAGGTTTAGGGTTTAAACAGTTAAACAAAAAAGTATTTTTTTTTATGTATGATTATATAGATTATAGATATACTTAACCTATGTTTGGTGGAGGTGATTTAATAGGGAAGGGTGAATTAGAGTGGATTTGAAAAAAAGATGTGTATGATTGAAGATATTTGAAGAGAATTACAAGTAAATTTCACGTCATTTTTTATATTCTCCCCCATTAAGAAGATTCTTGTGAAATTTGAAAAATGTGTAAAATTATATAAAATAAAAAATATTAATTCTAATTATATTATAAAGTGAGGGTAAAATAGTAATTATAAATATCAAATTTACTCTGTTTCTCACTTAATTTCACTCTGACTATCAAACGGTTACAAATTCTATTCTATTTCACTCAATTTCTTAACTAATTCTTACCAGATCAATTCTCACATATTCTTTCTTATTCTCTTCTATTCTTTCCTCTCCCCCAAACAAAGCCTAATGAGTTACAGAAATTTATCATGGCTCTCGCGGCAAGGGATAAGCTCATGACATTTTTAACGAAGAAAAGAGATAATGTCTTTGTAGTAGTGGGTTCGTTGCTCAATAAAACATTCGTTTCACTTTTAATAGTGCTTAATTCTCTCGATTTATATTTGACGTGCAAACAACAAAATGAACAAATTTATTCCATTCTCCGTACAATATCATTTCTTAACCTTTTGTCAATGATTTTTCCCCAAAATCCACCAAAAATAAGATAAAACCATGCCAAATAAACACTATTGTAGAAATATATTCTTCCTCCTAATTTAAACTGGTCGTATGGCGTTTGTTGTCTCCACATTCAAGTTTTGGAATTTTGAGATTGAAAAAGCCTGTGGCGGGGTATTTGGGCTAGGCTTTTCAACGCTATACAAGCTAAAATCTTCGTTTGCTATCTATCTATGCTTTCTTGTCTTAATTTTACATCTTTTACTGTTCATTTTACTTGGTGGTTCATGCCTTAAAAAAGTTCCCCTCTCACAAGTCCTAACTGCCATAATTATTCGATTCAAATTTATTCTCGTGCTTTTCTCTCACATGTTTGATTTGAATTTCATTCAAACTTTTTCCTAAATATAATCAGCAATGAATAATGCCTTGTATCGTAAAAAGCCATAATCTATTTTAAGAGTCACCAAAACTCAATTGCATTTATTAAATGCAACAGTTACATGCAATTTGAGGGGCTGCGAAAAACATGACAGAAATGTCAGGTGCAAAATAGATGTAGTTATGCTCAGCACTAGACACGAACTCGTGCCAGAATTGTAATTATTATCAAGTCGATAGTACACAACTACAAAAAAGCAAATTCACATTTCTTTAATGAAGTTCCTTACGACTGCCATATGGAAGGATACCTCCAAGGTCGAATTAAGCAAAGTTCCACCTGAAAATACGTCAAGTTATACAGTAATCCATGGCAAGAAAAGGTTCCTCATGCATATTATTTGAAAAGCCTGATTATAGATCACGCTTGGCTCTAATAATTGCAACCATAAAAAACTAAACATGAATCAAGGGAAAGCATAGATTACCTCAGGTTCAAAAGTACAGTGCAGGTGTCAGTTGTTGACTCAAATCATAAGAATAAATGGCGAATTGCACTATACAGATGATAGGTCACGGCTAAGGCAGAAATCTCCATGACAAGTAGGTTGAGTTTTGATGAATAAAATATGAACTGGTAGAAAGATTCAAAGGTGAGGCTAATCAAACCCATTTTAATATATATCATATAAAAAAGCAAGATGACACCGGCTAGGGCAGCTCCAGCAACTCTATTGAAGATTGAGAGTGTTGAAGAAAGTTGGGGCTGATAAAGAGGAAGATGAGGAGATAACGGTCGAAAACCAGATGGGTTTGTCTCACTGGTTTTACTTGGGATGTCACTCATATAACGTTTATGACTAATCATTTCCAATGTGCCAGCTTCCATACCTCTCTCAAAACTTCTAGCCATCACAGTATTGACTCCCTAATGAATGAAAATGTCATCAGCCAAGTAACAGAAGCCAAATATACTCAACTGAATCTCAGATAACTTTAGGAACTCACCAATAGCATTGGACTCTGTGCAGCCCAAACTCTAGTGCCATACATAGATCCAGCCAACATATTGGTGTCCAGTCCAGAAGCTTTGTACCTCTGACATAAGAGAACAATTCCACAGGAATTAGAAACTAAACAGAGCTAAATTAATGATTGTGTATCACATTCTCAGGCATAATGATATGGACTAGTTCAAAAAAAAAAAATTTGTATTGTAGAAAAAAAAGGAAAATTGTATTTGGAACAAACGAGACTCTACTCTGCATTTACATTTGCAATTATACCTTCCACTGTGTCCTCCAAGGAGGAGGTACCAGTACCACTAAAACTAAAGATAACAAACAGTTTACAGCTCCATCTGTCCTTGGCAAGACATCATGGTTTGCAATGCTTGCTATAAGAAATCACTATAATCTATCCAAATCAGAAAGACTTGACAGTCGATGCATCATGCATACACTGAAGAAAAGGTGTGGAAATCTGGTTCTAACTGCTGTTAGGATTATTATCTGATTCTTGTTTTTATTGGATAATAACATATCACATCAGTTTAGGTAATTTACATTTAAAGTAGATCACAAAGTTTAGGCTATCTTGCCCTGTTGCGGGGAGAAAATTTCTCCTTCATTTTCTAGCTCTTAATTTCCTCGGCACAGCTTGCTATTTATTGGCAACAACATATTATGAATACAAGCATCAATAGAAGGAAAACCTTTTCCCTAAAATCTACAAAAAGAAATCACAACCTAGTAAGCATCACGTAGAAGGTTTAGCAGAAGATTACTCGTCAATGATGGTTACTAGGTTTTTGGGAGTAGCCGCTACATTCCATAATTATATTGTATGAATAAAAATGCTCAAAAAATATTATAAAAAAAATACTCGATTAAAGACATACTATAACTTTTGAGAGAGCAGAAAAGAACACGAACAACTAAAAACAAAGATGAAGACGTATGAAATCTCAAAGTCGCAATTTCGGCTATAGAACAGAGCGGCAGAGATGAGAAAGGCACATACCGAAGAATTGATCGGATTAGAGTCACTGCCAAGCTTATTCGCAGGATCTCTAGGAAGACCGGTCAGGTTTCCAGCGGAAGCGTTTTCCTTCACTGAAATTTCATCGGCGTCAAAAGAAATGAGAAAAATAAAGAACTCAGCAGCAGGCAACAGCTTCTAGAAACACAGTTAAGCTCATAGAGCATTACCACAAATCACACGATTCCTCCAAATCAAAGAAACACGAAATAAGAAAATCCTCAATTAAAACAGTGATCAACATGAAATTTGCAACGCTATTTACTCTCTTGGCTTTATTGATTACAAGCTAATGGCGCTTACGATGGAATGAAAAAAAATAAAAATGAAGACGGAATGATGAAATAAAGGAATAGAAGAGAGTGAGAGTACCGAAAGGCATGGTGGCGGTGGTGCGGTGGAAGAGATCGGGGAGGGGAGAGAGGGCTGCGATCTGAGGATGGGAGGGGAAGGTTCTAGAAACATAAGAGGAAGAGAGGAGCTTGGCCTTGGAAGATCGGAGGAGCCAAGACATGGTGGCGTGGTTGGGTGCTACGAACGCCTAACGAAATGAGAGAAGAGAAAGCGACCGGTAAGAAGGAGTGCTGTGAATGTGATCTTCGGGATTTTGCCTGGGGGCGTGTGGAGACCCAATGTGGTGAACTAGGGCTACGTGCCACGTCACCGTGATCCACGCTTTCCGCTATCTTTTTCTTTCATGTTAAATTTTATCTTATTACAATTTCAGGAAAAGGAAAATATTTTCTATATAACAATAAAAGAAAGAGGATTGCTACACGTTCCGAAAAATGAAACGAATCAGTCCGAAATTTTAAAAAATTTATATTTTTAATAAATTTATTATAAAATAATTATTTAATTTAATATTTTATAATTTAAATTATTTTTTTAAGCATTCGGAATAATTTTCTATTGTGAAATCAACGATCAATAAACTGAAAGAGACAGAAATTAACTAGGCAGACACAAGTTAAGAGACAGTAGCGACAATAGCTGTAATAATAATAATATATAGTCTTCTAGAAACACGTGATTCAAATGCATAATAGTAAACAATCAATTCATCCTAAAATCATTCTAAAATTAATTTTTAATAAATTTATTATAAAATAATTATTTAATTTAATATTTTATAATTTAAATTATTTTTTTATATATTCGGAATATATTGGATGAAGAATTTTCCTAAAAGAAATAGAAAGGAATGACTAATGTCAAGTGAGGTGAGGAAAGCTTCATTTTTATTGCTTCATGAACATGATTTTCCAGTCTTTTGTTATAAGCACAGTAAATAATTCTCACTGATAAGTGCTCTTTTTTTCTTCTTTTTTTTCAAGTTTTCAGTAGGAAATATATAAAATTTCTAACAAATGTAGTTGAAACCTTTTAAAAGGTGTAGTCCTTCTCAACTCGTGATTATTTTTTTTATATGAGGAAACCTTTTTGAAAATGTGGTTCTTCTCGAGTTTATAATTTTTACTTTACTATAAATTATAAATTCGAGAACCTTAAATAATGGTTATTTTGTTATTTTATTATGTTTGATGATTTTTATAACATTTATTCGGTTATATTGGTTGTCTTACTAAGAGTGTGTTTACTTTCATGTTCTCAACACGATTTTTTACGTTGAATCAGAAGTTAATAATTATAATTTTCATGTTTTCTAGGATGAATTACGTAATTTTCATGTTTTTAACGCGTTTTCAAACATGCACTAATTTTTTTATCGTGGTTATTCTCAAGTTTTTTAAAGTTTCTAACATGATTTTTATTGAAGACAACAAAAAATCCTTAGACGAGTAAAAAAGCTTAAAGTTACCATTTGTTAAGGTCTCATAAATGGAATTCTTTTCTGAAATATTAGTTTTTAAAAATAATTTACAGAAATGGACCCCCATAATTTATTTACCAGAGTAGAATCTTTCACTGTGCAGGTTTAAAACTCGGTCTCTGAAAAATTGAATTCTAACCTGCTAGTAGTGTTCCGATTTTGTTTTTTGGCTGCCGGAATTCGATTATCAGGGAGCCGAATTCTGAGCGGCCTTTACCTTTTTTGTTTTTATTAAATTAAATTTTTTTAAAAAGAATTTATAGTTTTTAAAAATTAAAAAAAATGTAATATTTAAATAAAATAGGTTTTGTATTATTTAAATAATATAAGTTAAATTATAAATTTAATAAGTTATAAATGTAATAATTTATAATGTTAATAAATAATAATTTTATTAACTTATATTTATAATAAATTAGAAATTTAATAAATTATTAATTGGAAATTTTATAAATTTAATAAGTTAGTATGTATTATAAATAAATGTGTTTTTAAAAATATTAATAATATTTGTGAATAAAATATATTTTATATAAATATTTTATTAAAAAATATTTAAAAAAAAAAGAATTTTAAATTTTTAAACAATTTAAAAAATATGTAATTGTCAAAAAGAATTGATTATCTGAACTCCACACGTCAAAAGGAATTAATTCCTTGGGCCCCAAGTGTAAGTGCACGTTATGTGAAGAGGGAATTGATTCCTTGAGCCCCAACCCTAACCTTCACCCTCACCCTAACCATGTGTGTAACTCTAAACCCTAAAAAAATAGGTTAGTTAGCCCTAAATTGACAAACGTTATCCTAAATCATAACTGACATATCATTTTTGCGACGATATTTTATGTAAATTTTTTTGAAATTTTTTTTCCAAACCATGTGAACTCCACAAGTAAGAAGGAATTGATTCCTTGGGCCCCAAGTGTTAGTGCACGTTATGTGAAGAAGGAATTGATTCCCTGAGCCCCAACCCTAACCCTCACCCTCACCCTAACCATGTGTGTAATTCTAAACCCTAAAAAAATAGGTTAGTTAGCTCTAAACCAACAAACGTTACCTTAAATCATAACTGCATATCATTTTTGGGACGATATTTTATGTAAATTTTTCTTGAAATTTTTTTCCAAACCAACTTATTTCAATAGTTTTTATATCAATGAATTCAATGGTACAAGTTTCAGAAGTCAAAAAAATTGTAATTTATGCAAAAACTTAACCTTAAACTGAAAAAAAATTATCCTAAACCTTAACTGACGTACCATTTTCAGGACGATATTTTATGAATTTTTTTGGAAATTTTTTACCAAACCAACTTATTTTAATAGTTTTCATATTAATGAATTCAATGGTACAAGATTTAGAAGTCAAAAAAATTTGTAATTTATACAAAAACTTAGCCCTAAACTGAAAAAAATTACCCTAAACCCTAATTAACGTACCATTTTCGGGATGATATTTTATGTAAATTTTTTTGGAACACCACCAGCAGGTCAAAACTCACTGAACCTGTACAGTGAAAGGTTTTACTTTGGTAAATAAATTGTGGGAGGGTCCATTTCTGTAAAAAAAAATTTAAAAAAATAATATTTTAGAAGAAAAAAAATTCCTCATAAATATCCAAAAAAAATAAACTTATTTAGTAGTAAGTTATAATAAGTTTCTATTAGTATTTTAACATGTTATTTGTACCATTATATATACTAAAGGAGTAAAGACACTTCGTACTTCTAATAATTATTTATTAATAAAATATTAAAAAAATTGTGTATAATTATTTAAAAAAAATTTAAGATTTTTTTATATTTGAAAGTATAATAATTCATTAAAAAATGGAGATCAAAAAGCGATTACATCTCCTATATCTTTTATATAATAGTTATATATATATATATATATTATATATATATATATATAT